TACAGAGATTTGTGAGGTCAGAAGGGACTATTAAGTCATCTGGTCATAAATAATTTTGGTCATTAATAAATCTGTTAGAGGTTCTACTGACACATCTTGCACATGAGTAATCAGGTGGATTTCCACACGGTTGAATCCCATCCAAGCACCATCCTCTCCGTCCCTGTGTGCAGGCGTCTCTGCCCTCAGGCCTTGCTGAACAACCACAGAGCAAGGATCCCGAACCGTAAGGCCCAGGAGTTTCAGCAGTCCTTTTGCTGCGTGTTCTGCAGCGTGCTGATGTTTGCTAGCAGCCAGGAAACCAACATTTGATGCTGGGGCAGTGTCCAGCAAGACTGGAAGTTGAATGTTTGTTTTTCTTGTGATAAACCAGAGTTCTGACCAAATACAGATTGACTTTCATGCTGGAGCTGTGGTTCATTTCACAAAAGCAGCTCAAGGCTTCAGTGTCTAATGGCAGTGGCAGTAAATGAGGTCCCAAACTGCTCAGGGCAGCAGCTCTGAAATGCTGGGCCTGGGCAGGCTTCTGATTTAACACAACTTTTGGGGCAAAATCTTCCCAAAGGAGCCAAATTTCGATGCACTGTTAACCTGACATTTTTATAATTACCCACATTAAATAGCTGACAGCCATTTATTTTCCTTCCCCGTCCCTCCTGTATTTTAGAATTTGGGCAAAAAAGCAGTGATCTATTTGAAAGATCCTGTTTCACCTTCCTGATCATCCCATCAGGGTGAAGCTGGCCAGCAGCAGAGCCCTTGCAGGGTTATGGGTGAGGGAGCAACCCTGCAAGCAAGTTGCACAAGGGGGTAATTTCAGAGAATCCCAAAATACTTGAGCAGTGCCATGAAGAGGGAACCTGTCCACAGGATCAGCACCAGCTTTGAAAGACAGGAGGAAGGACAAAATATTGGCTGGGTGAGCAATAACAGAGGTGGGTGGATGTGAAAGAGCCAGGACAGTCTGAGCGAGCTGCCTGGAGCAGTGTGTCCGCGCTTCCCAGAAGATAACTTCTCTGGCAGCTCTTGGATCAGCCCCAGAATGGGCAGAAACGAGATGAGTTTCCCCTGTGCTTTCCAGCCAGCCTGGCTGGAGGTAGAGCTGCGTGGTTGGACCTCTGTGCTTGAAATGCAAATGTGTCTCCATTCCTTGCTATGAAGAACCAGCTCTAATCCCAGAATGGTTGAGGTTGGAAGGGACCGCTAGAGATCATCTAGTCCAACCCCCTGCTCCAACAGGGACACCCAGAGCACGTGGCACAGGGCGGCATCCAGGTGGGTTTGAAGATCTCCAGAGCAGGAGACTCCACAGCCTCTCTGGGCAGCCTGTGCCAGGGCTCTGTCACCCTCGCAGGAAAGAAGTTCTTCCTCATATGGAGGGGGAACTTCCTGTGTTTTAATTTATACCCATTAACCCTTGTCCTGTCACTGGCCTCCACTGAGAAGAGTTTGGCCCAATCCTCCCTACATTCCCCCCTCAGGTACTTGTGCTTATTGGTCACATCCCCTCTCAGTCTTCTCCTCTCCAGGCTAAACAGGTAGTTAGGAAATCCAAGCGTCCAGAAAACACAGCTAGAAGCCAGCGGGGTAGCCCCCCACAGAGGATGGGTTGTCTGCGCTGCTGCTCCCTTCCCTCTCTGATCAGTAAAAGTGAATTGCTAGGAGCCTACACGCCAGGGTCACAATTGCAAGGCTCCTGCACCACATCCATGCTGGGGCATCTGGAAAGCAGCCCTATGTGGGGTTGAACTTGACCACGATGAGTCGATGATCAATGGATAATCCTTCCTGAAAGAAGTTGGCCTTGCCTCATCTGCTGGGGGAAAGGCTCCACAGAAGACTGAACTGTCAGCTCTGTCTTGAGGAACCTTCTCACCATGGGTGGTAGCCCCTCATCAATGTGCTCCTTCCCCAGTAGCTGTTGATAAAGTCCAGCCACTAGAGGGGGAAAAAGATCTGTGCTGTTGGCAGAGGGTAGCACCCATGTCCATGGATATCCACTGGATATTGGTGCTTCATCTTTCTCTGCTGGCACCTGGTACATGAGGGACGAGTCTTTATTCAAATCCCCCAGTGCGGGGTTTATTTTGCCATTTCTTCAGCAGAGCTTTTGTCCTTTTTTTGCTTTTTTTATTTTTTTATGAGATGGGACATAACAGGACAGTTTACAAAAGCAGCGTGCAGTGATGCAGCTCTGCTGGTCCTTAGGGTTTTGTTTCTTTGGAACAGGGTTCCATAAAGGATCAGCTCAAAGCGTATGGGGCCCTGACCGAGAACGTCACGCGCAAGTACACCAGGCAGATCCTGCAGGGAGTCTTCTACTTGCACAGCAACATGATTGTCCACAGAGACATTAAAGGTGAGCAGCTAATGCAGGGAGCCTTCCTGCTTACCCACATCTGGTAGCCCCTTCCCTTCCTTCATGAAACCCCACGTGCAGAACGGAGCACGGGGAGGCGGGAGTTACGGCTGTGTTACCTTGGCTTTGCCTCTTGCCTTCATCAAGTTCCTTGAGCTATGAGAATCTTGAGTACCAAAGATGAAAACAAACACACAAAAAATCCCATGTGTTTCTTCCTGCCTGAGATATCCATATTAAGGACTCTTAATAGGGATTATCATTGTGTGCTTATAGACATCAGGTCTCTGCACCTCTAAAGTTCTAGCCCAAGAACTGAGGTGCTGGAGATCAGGGGCACTGAGGCTCTGTTTGTCTCCTGGTGCACGGTGCAGATCACTGCTCACCTCCTGTTCAGGGATCAGCTTTGGGAGTGGGATTATCCAGGAGGGCTGGTGGGAATCAGCCCTCCTCAAAAGCAACAGCCTTGGGAGAGAGGGTTCTCGCATGAATCCAGCTGAGCAGGACCCTTTGGGCTCCTGCAGTGCTTCATCTCTTGGATTCTTGTTTGCCTTTCACCCCTAGGTGCCAATATTTTGCGAGATTCTGCTGGAAATGTGAAACTTGGAGATTTTGGAGCCAGCAAGCGCATCCAGACCATCTGCATGTCTGGGACGGGGATTAAATCTGTCACGGGAACACCGTACTGGATGAGCCCAGAGGTCATCAGTGGAGAAGGCTACGGAAGGAAAGCTGATGTGTGGTAAGGAATATGGCAAAAAGCTCCCACCACTGCTGACTATAGTCAGTGATCCTTTGGGGAAGATGCAATGGGAGCAACTAGCATGGCCAGCATTATGAAGACAGAACAGTGCAAGGACAGAAATGGGAGCTGAATGTTGGGATCACCCACGCAGATACCCAGAGGGATTTAGTCTTAAGTGAATGTCCCAAAGCAGGAGCACCCAAACTCACTGCTTGCTTTGGGAGGCCTCACCATGCGTGAGGACCATATGCTGCTCAACCCTCTGGCTGCTGTTTAATTCTGGAAAGCAGCCTGATATGAAGTTTGCCAAAAGAGCTGTTGAGTTTTGGTGGTGCTGGTTCAGGGGACTCTTTAAATCTGTCTCGGAGGTTTAGTGGGACCTTGTCAGGTGCTCAAAATCTGCCCCTTGATGTTTCCATGTGGCTCAGACATGTTACGTATTACTCAGACCGTGGCATCTGAACTGTTGTCTGGGGAGGTTCTGACGAGTTCCTGTGTGTTCCCAACCGCACGTTTTTATGAAGCTTAGTTGTCTGTCAGACTTCTCCAACATGGGTGCATGAAGGCAGATGTTACGGGGTCATCAACTAAGATCAGGTGAGCCTCTCCCCTTAGGAAACTAGGGTAAAGTGCATGCATGGAGCTAGACAAATGCCTGCCAGTAAATGTAGGCAGAAAACCTGGAGTTTGCTCTTGCCAAGGGGAGCAGAGAGCTCTGTGCAAAGGGCTGTCTGCACTGTGAGCGTCAAGGGTGACCCTGTGTATCAAGACACGTGCTGGGACAGAGCCTGTTCCAGGAAGGAGAGTTTTTTGGGCCCTAAAGTTCAGTTTTCCTTCAAAACCCAAACACGACGTGGCTGAGGGGTGCAGCAGCCACACTTGTCACTTTTTACCTCATTCCCTGCATGGCCTCGTTGCAGG